TCACGCTCTGCAGCATTGAACCCCAGGGCACTGGAGTTTGGGAAAATGAGTGCTGGTAAAGCTGTTTGTATGTGTGTGTGGAGGTGGGTGGGGAATAGTTAGATGGCAGGGAACAATGCTTTAAGGCAGAATTTTATTTTATTTTATTTTTTTGGTGAGGAAGATTGAATTTGAATAGAGAAGGCCCTGAGCTAACATCTGTTGCCGATCCTCCTCTTTTTTGTTGAGGAAGATTGGCCCTGAGCTAACATCTGTGCCCATCTTCCTGTATTTTGTATGTGGGACGCCACCACAGCGTGGCTTGATGAGATGTGCGTAGGTCTGTGCCTGGGGTCTGAACCCACGAACCCCGAGCCACTGAAGCAGAGCACACTAACTTAACCACTACACCATCAGGCTGGGCCCCCCCAGAATTTTATTTTTAAAGCTGGATTTAAATAAATAACTACTTCATGGAATTGAGAAACACATTTTAGGGCAACATAAAAATTGGGAGGATGGTTTTAAACAGAAAGTAGAAACAGCATGTTATAGTGGGAAGCTCAGAACTGGGAGTGAGTCAGAAGTAGAATCTAATCTTGATTTTGTCCTTTCCAAGCACTGTGAGTTTGAACAAGTCACTTAACCTCTCTAGATATCAGTTCGCTCATCTGTAAAAATGAGGTGAGTGGATTCAATTCCCAAAGGTCCTTCCATTCTTAAAATTTATGATTCTGGAGAAAAAATCCTAGAACGTGTTTCATATATCTTCTAGTCTGCCACTCAAAAACATACAACAGCAACTGCAATGTTAGGAATTTTGAGTTAATTCTTCAGTGTTTCTGTCAGTACCTAGAATCCAGATCTCACCACAAACCTCAGCTCTTACTCATTACCATCATTCTCTGGATTTCTGGGTCACCAGCAATGCTGGTGTGGGACAGCTCAGAGCCAGGGAGGAAGAGACACATATATCTCAGTTACCATTTCTTCCAGGCTTATCTCATTCTCATAAAATCCCCAGGAACTATGTGCATCTGAAATGCTCTGAATATCTGGTTGCTGAGGTTAGGTCACATTATAAGAGGTGGAAACAGAAAACAATGTGAGGGAATAGATTTGAAGTTTCACCAGCACGTATATCATTTTTTGTCACTTGCACAGAGTTGTGACCTTATGACTTCAGTGTCATAGAATTCATTTCTCCAAAGGGTCTAATTAGCCTCACAGAAAACCAGCCCTAGAATTTAAGTACACTGCCACCAGGTGACAGTGACAGGTCAAAGACACGGAAACCTATCAGTGAAGGCAAGGCTTCTGTTCAAGTAATGTGCTGCCACCTCCTTCAAAATATAACCATGAACTCCCATATTGTTTAATATCATAAATAGATTTCATTATTAAAACGAGCATAAGCACCATATTTAGAAGTTGCTTAAGAGTAGTGGTTCTCAACTCTGGCTACATGTTAGAATCACCTAGGAAACTATACGAAAATACACTAATGCTCAAACCTCCCTCCTAGATACTCTGATTTAATTGATCTCAGTGGATCTCATCCACCAGAGAATCTTTTCCTGCCTTTTTTTTGGGGGGGGCGGTGTTGTTCTTTGCTGTTGAAATTATCATGTCACCTTTTTCTCCACTAAAATTAATGGAGGGACTTGGAAAAAAAATGCTGTGACTACTTCTCCATCGGTCCATCTGTCTCTGTGAGTATAGCACTGTCAAGGGGTGTAGAGAAGACTCAGAGAAGACCTCTTAGCAACTCCACTGGCTTCTTCATAAACTGCCTTAGAAAATTTAAGGGGAGCTTTATAATAGAACAGAACATTCTGATCAGAAAAATAAGCTGCAAAAAAGTAGTATATACTATTTTTAAATACATATTCTGAAATGTAACCTTTTCATTGAAATATAACAAATATATAGAAAAGTGCACAAGTCGTAAGTATATATCTGAATGAATTCTCACCTGGTAAACATAACCATGTACTTTCTCTTTCCTCCCCAAAGATATCACTATCCTGACTTTTAACCCTATAGAATAGTTTTGCCTGTTTTTAAACTTTATGTAAACGGAATCAAACAATATGTATTCTTTTTGTCTGGCTTCTGTTGCTCAACATTGTGTTTGTGAGATTTACCCATGTTGTTAGGTATAGTGATAGTTTGTTCATTTTTACTGTTGTGTAGTATTCCGTGGAATGAATACTACAATTACGTATCTAGGAGTCGGGTAGACAACGAGCAGTGGAACTGCGTTGTCAGTCCCTTCAAGTGATAACAATTTGGTAGCTGTAGTGGAATCTCATTATCATTTAATTTGCATTTCTGATAGCTAATGAGGTTGTGTTTTTGGACCATGTGAATAGCTTCTTTGGTGAAGTGTCTTTTCAAGTCTCTTGCCTATTTTTTTTTAATGGGTTTGCCTTTTTTATTTTTTAAAAAACAGGTGTAAAAATAATATTAGTCATTTCAAATAATTGACTTGTGGTTTGGTTCATTTTATCCATCATCGATTTGTTTTCTGTTTCATTGCTTTGTGCTTTTATTTTATTATTTCCTTGTACTTTCTTTGAGTTTTATTTTCATTTCTTTTTCTAACTTCTTGAAATGAATACTTAACACGCTGATTTTCGGCCATTTTTCTTTTCCAATATATAAATTCGAAGCTACACATTTTCCTCTATGCAGTGCTTTAGTTGCATCCCAGAAGTTTGGATATGTCATATCATTTGTTCAAAATATTTTCTAATTATTTTCCTTGTGATTTCTTCTTTGATTCGTAAGTTATTTAGAAGTAGACTACTTAATTTCCAAACATTTGGGGATTTTCTAGATTTTGTAGTTGATTTCTATCTCAATTCATACAGGATTTCAGTCCTTTGAAATTTATCAAGATATGCATTAGAGCTTGGCAATTTTGGTAAATGTTGCATATGAACTTGAAAAGATTAGGTGTTCTATCAATTTTGAGATGCAGTTTTCTAAATACATTAATTAGTTCAAGTTTGTAAATCATGTTGATCTGCTCTTTCATATCAGGTGTTGGCAGACTTTTTCGTAAAGGGCCAGACAGTAAATATTTTAGGCTTGCAGGCATATTGTCTCTGTCCCAGCTACTCAACTTTGCCATTGTAGCATGAAAGCCGCCATAGACAACATGTAAATGAATGGGTAGGGTTGTGTTCCAATAAAACTTTATTTACAAAAAACAGTGGCTAGCCTATGGGCCACAGTTTGCCAATGCCTGTTCTATTTAATTACTGTACATAGTATACATATTTAAAATTTTTGGTCTGCTTATTCTATCAGGTATAGAGAAGTCCCCCACAAGGTTGTGGATTTGTCCAGTTCTCCTTTGCATTCTGCAATTCTTGCTTTGTATATTTTGAAGTGATGTTACTAGATGCATACAAATTTAGAGTTTAAATTTAAGTCTTCCTGGTGAATGATTCTTTTAGATATATGAAATGTCCTCTGTCTCTAATAATGCTTCTTGCATTAAGGAATATCTTGTATAATATTGATATACTATACCAACTTTCTTTTGGTTGCTGTCAGTATGGTATTTCTTTTATTATCTTTTTATTTACAACATTTATATGTTATTTTATTTAAGGTTGTACTCTTGTAAGCAACATATATTTATTTTATTTTTTTCTGGATCCCATTTGACATTCTTATTCTTTTACTTGGCATATCTGAGTCCATTTATATTATACAGATATTTTTTCATTGGGTAAATATAAACATTGATTCCCCTTCTGAGACTCTTCTGTCTCTGTCCCAAAGTTCAAGCAAAAGATCCAGGTCACAGGATGTTTTCTCAAGTATAATTTCTGCTCCTTCCATCTCCTCATTTTTGCCTCAGAAAACCTATTTGTTCCAGTGAGGCTGAGTCTGGACCTGTGGGCACACAGACTTGCACCCACCTGGGTGCCGGTCCCCACCCTGAGCAGTGCTCAGATTCACAGGCTCCAAGAGTCTCACCCATAAGAAGCCAGAGCCACAGAAGAATGGGGGGTAATGGGGAAAGTAATCAAGAGCTTGCTTGTTTTTTCTTATTGATTTGTAGGAGTTCTTTACATATTCTGCATATAACGCCTTTCTTAGTTATGTATGTTGGAAATATATTCTCCTGTAGTTCTCCTATATAGACAATCTTATGGCTTGTCTTTTTGTTCCCTTAATGATGCCTTTTGATGAGTACAATTTCTAATTTTAATATAGCCAATTTAACAATATTTTCTTTTAAAATTTATATAAAACACTGAGAGGGGAAGAAATGCTTTGAACCCTTGAGAAGCCCTGAGCTTTGAGTAGGATACGGAAGAAAGCCCTTAGCCTTTCTGTTTAAATTTTCACACAGATTTACAGAATATTTTACAAGAATAACCACTGGGAGAGAACTGATTCCTTGGAGACAGTGCCCCTGACTGCATTTATTATATTTCAGGTCTAATATAAACAATTTGAGATGGTGTATCCCAACTGATTTGGTTTCAAAGGATGGTCATGCAAGGAGAAGGGGGAAACGGTCATTAGGTTTTGCAAAGGACAAAACTGCATTACATTTTATTTCCTACCTATCTACATTCCTACCTGGAAGGAGAAAACTGGAATAGTAATAAGGATAGGAAAAACAGCTTAAGGTCTCCTTTAAAACAAAAACAACTTCCTTCAGGAGAATGGCACCGGTGAGTAACACAACAGCACCCAGTCACCAGTGCCTCTTGCCTGGATGACAGGCAGGGCAGGGCCCTCACACAGACCCCCAGAACAGATACACCTATGAGGTCACCGTTCTTGCCCTCTGCACTTCGACCTTTCTGTTGCACAGAAAATATAAGGCCCTGCTGCCCAGCAGGAGAGTTCAGAAGGTGCTAAGATGATATGCCAAGTGGATAATATCCTTCCTGAGTGACGATCTGGAAGGAGGAAGCTGGATTGAGCATGCACAAGCCCAGAAAGAGCAGACAGGTGAACAGAGAGAGGCCACAGTGAGTCTTGCTTACTGCAGCTGGAAGTGCTTCATCTTGGTAACCAGTAGTTTGTAGTGGGCACCCAGCGGTGCCATGGACGCTATGTCTACAAAGATCAGTTTCTCCAGCGCTCCTGTTTCATTGGTCGCTTCCGAGGGACATAAGGTGCGGCTCACTTCCTGGTAGTTGTAGCTTCTCTGATATCTGTAGCAGCCGGTGGAGGGAAAAACCAGCAAGAACAAGAACGAGATTCAGTGAACAAGCAGGGAAAGAAGCCTGTCTCATTTCACTTCTCCCTGAATTTGATTTCAAGTCCTTATGTTTTACATTTCAGACTGGACCTATTGAGGGTGATTTCAGAACTGGTGTTTTTAGCACAGGGTTGTGTGACGTAATAACAGGGATGTGAGGACTGTTCAGTGCTGGCCAGTTCCCTTAGCCATGTCTACATTACACTAAACCATCCTCCTAATTCCTAATGAGGCACAAATATCAGATTTTGAAGGGGAAACTGTCCTGATAAAACAACCAGTTGATTCCATTTTTCCACTCTTTAAGCTTTTGTTAAACGGAACATAAAAAGTCCCAGAGTCCAAGTCAAGGCTATCAGAGTCAGTATTTCAATCCTAAAATTCCTCAACCTCTAAAAATGATTTAGCACCAGACAATGTGCCCATGTCTGAATGCCTTCTGGGTTTTTCTTATTAGTGCTATCGTGCCTTATACAGTCTCCCCTGCAAAAATAGAAACTCCATGAGGGCAGGGACTTCGTTGTTGTTTTTTTTTCCCCCACTGCTGTGTACCTAGCGTCTAGTGCTTAGCAGTGCTCAATAAATATTATGAAATGAAGAATGCACACTCAGTAGGTGTTTTGAAGAATAGGGAGGTGTTACTCATTTAAGTTGACTGCTGGGCCTAGTCCTGTCCTCAGAGGGTGATCCACTAATCAACCAAGGGCTACAGAACATTCTGGATAGAATTAACACCCTAAAACTTCTAGGTGCTACACATCTAGGCAGAGTGCTTATCTGAACTTCAAAGAGGATGGAAATTGAACAGAGCTGAACAGGTCAGGGTATGCACCACAACCATTGTTCGCACTTGGCATGCATAATGTGTTAACGTTCCAAACGTCTGATTTCTCTTTTCACTAGGGAAAAAACCAATTAAGGTCTAGAACATTGAAAGAAACCAAATGTAGTGAAGTTGTCTGGGGAAAGATCCACTCACAGTCCTTGGAAGAGCAGAGGAACCTGCCAGGACAGCACCTCTTTCTGTTGGCGAACCACAACGAGGACTGGGTAGTGAAGGTTCTCTGAGGAGCTGTTCACATATACCCGCATGGCGGTGACCTGCGAGCAGGGTAGACAGAGATGTAATGCAGATCACGCACGCACACACACGCACGCATACACACACACACACACATACATCACAGCTGCCATCTGAAGCTCCGAAAAACTTTGATTTCTCACACCTGCTTCTGACCATAGATAATCCAAAGGCCCCAGCTGTCTTTTCGTCATTCATATTGTAACCACAGTGGATTTCAACCTTGACCACACGTTGAAATCACCAGGGGAGATTTTAGAAGACTGATGCCTGGGTCCAACCTGCCAAAATTCTGATTGAAGTGGTCTTGGGTGAAGCCAAATTATGGAGGCTTCAAACGGCAGGCTGAGGAGTATGGATTGGGCAGTCAACACAAGATTGTGAGACTAAGGCCAGAACAGAAAAAGAAAGACATTGATGTGCTTCTCTTCTTCTTTGAATTAAAATGCTAAAGATACAAATATCTTTAAAAAAAAAAAAAAAGACCTATAAACACCTCAATTGCTGACAAACTTTAATTTCAGTTTGGAAAATCATTCTGTGCTTCACACCGAAATGTTCTTGACATGTTTTATTAAAGCCTAGCAGATGGCCTGATGCTCCCCCAGCCACAGATCCCATCAGGGCTGAGGATTCCTCTTTGCCCTGCTCCAAGGCGTAAATCAAGCCGACAAAAAATGCTTTTCTACATCAGCAGCTCCATAGCTCCTTCTGAATACACATGCAAGGATTTAACACGATCATGACAGTTTTAAAGACAGGAAGTTGAACTGTGGCCCTGGATTTAGATGGTTTTGGTGTCTTCCTTCAGTTTTAATACCATAGACAACATGGAAAGAACAAAATAGAACAAAGGCAAGGTAAAAAAGAAAAAGTAAAATTTGATCTTTCACATGAGATTTTTTTCCCCCCTTTTCCCACTAATGTATTAAAGCTGTTTTTGTTCTCTTGAAAACTCCTTTATTAGTGGAAAGAAATGAAACAAGAAAATCTTGCAGTTAAACCCTGAAGATCTATCACATGTTCAAAATGGAAATTGAGAGGAAACAGAACAGCATGGATACCATACATTACTATTTGGTTCTTTTATATCATTCTCCTTGATTAAGCCACTTTGCTTTTTTAATGTTAAAACAGTCCGGAGTAGTTTATTAATTTGATAAGAAGCACTTGCTCAGGAAGGGAGCATCTTTTGGAGCCAGCGCTCTACATGTTTCCATGGAAATTACGCTGCAGCTGATAATTGCCGAACCCTATCTCTGGTGCAGACCTCTTTCCTAAGCTCTGGGTGTTCCACAGGCACCTCAAACTCAACCTGTCTGCAATGGAAGCTATCACTCCCTTCACCTCTAGCTTGAATTTCTTCTGAATTCCTTTGCTTGTTGAACGGCTTCACCATGTAGCCATTCGGCAAGCCTGAAACCTGAGAGTCATCCCTGACTCCTACTTCTGTAGCTTCCTCAATCAACAGGTCATCAACTCTGACACTTCTTTCTCCTTCACACTGTCCACACCCAGAGCCTCCCTTCCACCCCCAATGACGTTCTCATAGTTCAGTCCTTTATCACTCTAACTCTCCTTGACACCAGCTTATCTAGTCTTCTCATCCCCAGGGGTGTACCCCCTCTGCTGCCAATTTCCTCTTGGTATTCTCCTGCTGAAAAGGCCTTCCGTGGTTCTGGGAATGTTCAGATTTACCCCAAAGTAATGAGAATAGTATAAGGAATCCTCATTTACTTATCATCCAGCTTTAATAATTATTAGCAAGTGTACATTTTATTTCATTTATACATTCTATTTCACACCCACAGCCTTACTGGATTATTTTAAAGTAAATACTAAAGGTTATATCATTTCATCTGTAAATAGTTCAATCTATATGTATCTCTAAGAGATAAAACCTCCTCTTTTTAACATAAACACATTACCATTATCACAGTTAATAAAATTAATAATAATTCTTTAAAATTATCCAATATCCACAGTGTTTGAATTTCTTCATTTGTTTCAAAAATTGCTTTTTTTTCAGTTTTTAAAAAAATTTGGGTAGAAACAAGATTGCATTTGGCTGATACGTCTTTTGAGTTGCTTTTAACCTAGAGGTACCCCTGGTCCTTTTTTTGGGGGGAGGGTATTTATTTGTTAAAGACAGCAGCTCACAAAGCAGCAGTACAAAGTACCCACATTCTAGATTTTACTGATGGCCCCTGTGGTGTCATTGAACAGGGTCCTTTATCTTCGTATTTCCTGTAAACTGGTAGTTAGAGCTAGAAGCTTGACTAGATTCAAGTGCCAAAAATTTCAGTCTTTTTCTGGATTTTGAGTCAAAGTCAAGAAAGTTTTCATCACTCCAGGTTACCGAGGCCTACAGTTTCTTCTAGTATTTTGTGGTTTCATTTTTTTAATATTTAAATCTCTGCTCCCTTTGTAATCAATACCAGTATATGATATGCTGAATGATTTCAATTTTATTATTTTTTCATATGGCTCTCCAGTTACCCAACACCACTTATTGAAAAGCTCATCTTTCCTCCACTGATTTGACTCTCTCAAAGCTCTTGTTGATCTCTTCTCTGTCTTCTTCCTTAGTTTCTTTGCCTGCCAATCCCCTGCTATCTTGTCATGCTCAATTCTGTTGCTGAATTTTAAGAACAATTGCTGTTCTTAAAAGGCCTTTGTCCCCAGTGACTGGCCTTTGGCTATCCTCCTCATCCCTAAAGTCCTCCTTTAGGAAGTCTTCTCTGATATTGCCCCATCCTGCCAAATAAGTGGGTATCCCTCCCTTGGGGGGGCCCTATGTAACCTCTGATTGCCTCTATACAGTGTTTATACCACTGTGAAGTAATAGAAAAAATATATATTGGTCTCTGCCCCCAGTTCCTGGCACAGAGCTCCTAAAATTCTTGTAATTTCCTAAGTGATAAGAGGACCAGGAGTGTCTTTTGTTCTAATAGTTAGTCTTTGATCCTGGTTCCTGACACAGAGCTCCTAAATCCCTTGTAATTTCCTGGGTGACAGGAGTGTCTTTTGTTCTAATGAGGAGACTCTTGCTGGGATCCTGGATAGCTTCAGGATGGAAACTGGTCATCAGAAAGACCAAGGCATGATTAGAAGCTTTCAGCTCCATACCCTATCCTCTGGGAAGGGAAGAGGGCCTGGAGATGGAGTTAATGCTTGATCGTGGCTACATGATGAAGTGTCCACAAAAATCCCCGAAGTACGGGGTTTAGAGGACTTCTGGGTTGGCGAACACAACCATGTGCCCGGAGGATGGCATACCTCAAGTCCACAAGGAGAGAAGCTCCTGTGCTCAGGACCCTTCTAAATGTCACCCTACGCATCTCTTCCATGTGGCTGTTCCTGAGTTAACATCCTTTTATAATAAACCAGCAATCTAGTAAGTACACTGTTTTCCTGAGTTCTGTGAGCTACTTTGGCAAATTAATCAAACCTGAGGGGGGGGGAGGTCATAGAAACCTCTGATTTATAGCCGGTTGGTCAGAAGCATAAGTCACAACCTGGACTTGCAATTGGCATCTGAAGTAGGGGGTGGGCAGTCTTGTGGGACTGAGCCCTTAACCTATGAGACTTGATGCTAACACCAGGTAGATAGTTTCAGAACTGAATTGAATTGTAGGACACCCCACTGGTGTCACAGAATTGCTTGATGTGTGGAAAACCCACAGGTATGGTGTCAGAAGTATTATGAGTCCGAATAGAAGTGAGTTTTTCCTATAGAGAGCCACAAAGCATTTTTTATGTAGTCAAATTCCTTACTTTTTTCTTGGCCATTTCTTCCATCACTTTGAAAAACTGATATATATCTCACACACCACACAATTTACTCTTAAAGTGTACAATTCAGTAGTTTTTAGTGTATTCACAGATCCATACAACCATCACCACTGTCTAACTCTAGAATATCTTCATTACCCCAAAAAGAAGCCCTGTACCCATGAGCAGTCACTCCTCATTCCCTCCTTCCTCCAATCCCTTCCAACCACTAATCTAATTTCTGTCTCTATGGATTTGCCTATTCTGGACATTTCATATAAACGGGTAATATAATATATGTCATTTTGTATCTGGCTTATTTCACTTAATGTTTTCAATGTTATTCCACATTGTAGCATGTATCAATACTTCATCCCTTTTTATTGTTAAATAATATTCCATTGTATGAATATACTACATTTGTTTTATCTATTCTTCAGTTGATGGATATTTTGATTGCGCCACTTTTTGGCTTTTACAAACAATGCTGTTATGAACATTTGTATACAAGTTTTTGTGTGAACATATGTTCTCAATTCTTTTGAGTGTATACCTATGAGTAGAATTGCTGGGTCACATGGTAGCTTTATGTTTAACTTTTTGAGGAACTGCCAAAATGTTTTCCAAAGTGGCACATCATTTGACAATCCAGCAATTTACATCTCCAGCAATGTAAAAGGTTCCAATTTCTCCACATCCTTGCTAACACTTATTACTGCCTGTCTTCTTCATTGTAACCACCCTAGTGGGTATGAAGTGGTATCTCACAGTGGACCTTACAGTGTGTTAACTGTTAGTTTACCTGCCTGGCTCTTCTAGGGAGCTACAAACTTCATCTTTGGCATCCCCAGTGCCTGGTTGAATGAATTAACTTAGAAGCAGGCTCATTTTTAAGGTTCGTTAACACAAACACTCACCAGCATTATACAGCACATGTTTTTAGAGCACACTTTATTCCGGCTTAAATCTACAGCAGTCAGAACTGAGGTAAACCTAAGGAAAGCTGTGAACTAGGCAAGCCTTATCTTTAGCTTGTCTGCTTCCTTTTTCGTTACTTGGGATTCAGCCCCTCCTCCCTTCTTAGGTACTGAATGCCAGAAGGGATTTCCCTCCATTTTTTTCCCTTTACTCTAAGGCAGTGATTCTCAAATTTGACTGTGTTTTTCAGCATTCAAATCCATCAAGCCTATCCCCAGCATTTCTGATACAGTGGATCAGGAATGGAACTTAAAAACATGCGTTTTTG